GTAGCCTATTTTATGTGCTTTTAAAAGTTCTTTTTAATCAAAATGAGTTATTTAGGCTGATAAGTTGTATCCTCAATGAGGAAAAAAAGAATGATTTTTTATCCACTCATATATTCTACATCATTGTTTATGGTATCAAATCATAAGAAAAGACAGGGCAAGATTATCATTTCAAACCATATTTTGAGCTTGAACCATTCCAAATATGATCTCATATTTTATAAAAGTAACATTTGAGTTTTTTACTTTTAATGCATCCAAACTTTTGACCATTTTGGAAAGAGTACCAAAGGATATCAATTTACAAAACACTTTTGTAACTCGAACATGATTGCAACCTAGTATTTGAATGATATATTTTTTAGCTTATGACCAATCAATCAAATAATTCATGAATGAGAATACTTTTTGATGCACATCTCAAAGTTTTTTTGTAATAATCTGGACTAATAAGAAAAATATCATTAAAGTTTGCTACTTGGTTCAAAACAAAATGATTTATTTTGCTTTAGTGTCATTAAATTGAACCATATTTACAAAGTGAAAGATTAAGAGTTGAACAAGTGAATGATCAAGGATGAAATTGATTGCAGCCAATTAGTCAAGTAAAACCATAATTCAAGAGCCATGACTAGTAGCATATGAGCTAAATTAGGAGGCGAGTGGACAACACAAAAATGATGGGATCCTAGGCATAATGGCTAAACAGGGTCCAAGAAAGAGTTCCTCAATGATAAAATGAATGAAATATAAATATTATGAGAATAACAAGACATGACCAATTAGCAAATATCTTGAAGCCAAACACAATTCAACATGTTTCCATGCTTAACGAGGGCACACAAACATTTCCATAAGGAATTCATAAGAAATGGGGGCATGAAGATGATTCAAAGCTCATGAACATAATTAGGGGTAGTATGACCTAATTATAAGGGATGGAATCACATTTCTATGGGCGAGCAAAATAGCGACAAAGTTCGAGATAACATTTGTTCTAAAAGCTCTAACAAACTAGTAGTCAAAACGCAAGATTTGAGCTGATTCTCTAAATTTGAGATGAAGAGTTAAGTTTTAAAAAGGTGTGACCTAGACTTCTCTTGGAGTTACTATCCTTACAGGACCCACAATCTATCACTTCCATAGATAAAGAGAACTCGAGCATGAGAATGAACAAACTTTTTTTTAAGGCTATTCATCACAAGCTAAGTTTCCATAAATGTCCGGGTAGTCACCTTGTCGAGATGACTAAGCTTTAAAAATGCCAAAGTGGTCACCTTGTCAAAATGATCAAATTTTAAAAAAATATCTAAGTGGTCACCCTATCGAGATGGTCGGGTTTAAAAACCTTTTTTAGGTGGTCACCCTATCAAGATGACCAAATTCCAAAATTATCAAGAGGTCATCCTATCTCGGTGAAAATTTTACCAAGAGGTCACCCCGTCATAGTGAACCATTTATCAAGAGGTCACCCCGTAATAGTGAACCATTTGTCAAAAGGTCACCCTATCATAGCGAATCATTTATCGGGAGGTCACTCTATCATAGCCGACCAATTTGTCTATTTTCAATCATATCTCTTTTCCATAAGTAATTCATTCATAAACATTTAGGTGGTCACCCTATCGAGATGACCAATCTTTCTCTTAAGAACACCGTTCGAAGTAAAAGTTCATATTTCGACCACTCCCACATCCCGAGAGGATTCGTATATTTGATGGATTTTTATCCTTTCATGAAGGTTCATGTATTTGATGGATTATTTTTTTTAAAAAAAATCAAATCACTACGAGAGAGTTCGTATATTTGATTGATTTTCTTTTTCAAAATCAAATCACCTCCAAAAAGATTTGTATATTTGATTGATTTTCTTCTTAAAGTCAAGCCTCTCAAAGAGGCATTGAACATTTAATCGCTCCACTCCGAGAGAGTTCGTATATTCATGTATTTTAAAAAAATCAAATCACCCAAAGAGGGTTCTTATTTTTGATTCATTTTTAAAATCAAATCACCCCAAGACGGTTCGTATATTTGATTCATTTTCAAAGTCGAATCATGCACAAGTGGTTCATTTCTTTGAGTTTGTCATTGTTTATCACATCTCTTCTTTACAAGCTCATTAGTTCAAGATGTTCAAAAACTTGTCTTTTTACATCTTTGACATGTAAGCATTGTAAATAGAAGCCAACCGCCATTATCCTATTTTTACCTCCATAAAAAATAAAAAAAGAGAAAAAATTAGAAAAAAATAGAAAAAAGAGAAAGAACTAGTCCTAGATCGGTATTGGGCTAGGTATTAGGCTATGGGTTAGGCCTAATTAATAATAAAAGAGAAAATTCAAAATAAAAAAAAATCCTTGGTTAAGCCTAGAAACACCACTATAAATATTCAACATACACACACAAAAGGGGAGGAGGTCGACATCTAAAAGGAAAAAAGAAAAAGAAAAAGAAAACCTTGCTTCCTAAAGAGAAGCAAAAGACAACGATCGAAAGAAGCCGCCACCGCTCCTAACCGACTGATTTTCGATCAACATGCATTTGACCACCAAAATCTTCCCTCCGAGATGATTGTAACACCACTTGAATTGCTTCATTCGACAATGAAGCGGCCCTCACGTGTCTCCTAAAGTTCCATCACCGTTGTTGCTTATAGATCCAGTTTAGTCCCCGAATTACTAATTTAGGTAATTACATCCCTACACTTTCATGTTTTTTTATTTGATTTTCATCCAAATTTTAAGATTTTGCCTAAGTGGTTTTCTGTTTCATAGGATGTTAATGTCAATTATATGATTGAAGATGAATCTTTAAATGATTATTGAATGTAAAACATTTGGTTAGGAGCGTTATTGAGAGATTTTAAAACTTGAATACTCGGGTTGTATGTGACAAAACCAAACATGATCTAAATTCAAGTTGTTTTGACGTGTCATGTGTTTTAATATTCAATTAGATTGGAAATAATGGATTAGTGATTTTTTTTTTAAGTTTTAATCTTGTCTTATTTTGATTTTTTTTAATTTTCAATAAAAAAGGGTTGCTTGATATATCATACAATATTTTTATTTTATGTCCTTGAGGAAGTGTCGGTCAATGATAAAGTTAGCAATAGGCTAGCAATTTTTTCAGAAAATTAAAATAAGCCAAATCTGAATTTATAAGTCGAGAACCTTGTGGAGGCCAATTGGCTATTTTATTTTTTATGAAGTCATTTTTATGTGATCTATGCTTTTTTTTTACAGGTTTTTATTTCTTGCATTGCGTATGTTTATTTTGTACGATACTAGTCTAGGTTAGTCTAGATGTAGTAGGTTTAGGACTTGAGACCGACTTTATTTCAATGATGAGTCTTTTCTTGTTATTTTTATTTTTATGGCTATTGTTTATAGTTAATTTAAATTTATTTTTATGGTCCTACTAATTTTTTTTCTTGCGGATTTAACTATTAATTTGGCCTTGGATCCAATTTTATATTTTAAAATGGCATGACATGTGATATGGGCTTGAGGCCCATGTCTAATTTTTTTAGTTATTATGCACTTATAATTTTATTTTATTTTTATTTTTTATGGTTTGGCAGTGTGAATTTGGTATGTGCCCACATTCATTTTATTTTTATTTTTTGCATTTTTGTGGGACTAGAATTTAATTGTAATAGGACTTTAGCCCTAATTTTTATTTTTTCAAATGAGCTTTAATGACCTAATGACATATTTAGTGAGAGATTGAGTGTTTTTTTTTTTTTTTCCAATATGCAAATCACCTCCCTTGAGTCTTGATTAGAAAAGACCCGAATAATGTATTAAATCAGAATAGAAAAAATAATTTGCATGAGTGAATTTCCTTAAGTTAGAAATACAAGGTAACCTCATTGCTAGGGTACATTAGAATAACCGTAGTATTCTCTAATTGTGTAATCAATTCCCTTACTTAGGATCGATTTTTAATACCATTTATAGTTTTTTTTTTTTTTCATCTTTTGAAAATTGAATGACGACTCCATATCTACACTCATAAGTTTATATTTTTTGACGATCGTCGAGAGGTCATCATGTGAAACTCGGTCATAACGATCGTTGCATAACGGGATGCTTGTTATATAATGACAACGTTCATTACATTATTTTTTTCCCTTAAATTCTTACAAACATACTTTTAACACATTTTAACTATTATGATTTGAGCCTATGAAAAAATAATTTAATTGATGTATATATAATTTGTAAAGAAATATTTATAAATTAAAAGGAAATGGCTGTAGATTTTGATTTTTATTTGATTAAAGTTGTAAAAGATTTATAAAGACAATGTAAATATCAATATTAGAGGTGGAGCTCCTCCAAAAAAAAAAAAAAAAAAAAAGAAAAAGAAGAAGAAGAAGGAGGAGGAGGTTAGAAAGACCCTCTACAATGCTTAAATTGAGTAATTAAATTTGTAATGTCTGATTAGAGAAGTGATGTGTTAATTTGTATTAACTATTCATTTTTTTAATCTATAAAATACTAATATTATGCATTTGTGGTGAAATTTAATAAAATCAATAATACACAATTTTGTTTTTCTATTTATAAAGATTTTACTACTACCATAACCTCCATTGAATATTCGTAACATTTGCGACGCTGCAATCGTTATTGCCTCAGCAATCTCGACCATGACCGCAACTTAAAACCATGAGTTGAATAGCTGAGATACCGCAATCAACTTTGCTTCAATGCTTTTAATATTATCATCGTAATGTTCCTCCAAACAGTATCATCGTAATCATTCTCCAAAAAACAAATAAAATAAAATAACACCTTAATATGTGGTTAACTTTCTGATACACCAATATTTCTGAAGATAAAAGTCAACATAATAACAGAAGTACAAACAAACAAACTTCAATGATCCTCTTCGTTTTTTTCATGGTCACCTTACGCAATGAATTACAACTCATCATATTTATTTTTAATCCACTAGGATTATCACAAGGATTCCAAGACATAAATAGTGCATCACACCATTTCTTTTAAACCTGCCTCATAATCCAGAGCCACTTCAAATGAAACAATGAATGGTGGTTCGGTCAAAGCCAAACGTCTAATTCCCGTTATGAAGTTGAACTCAACACCTACGTCACTAGTCGAAAGAAGTAGACCATAAGAAGAGAACTTGTAAGCCCCAAGCTTGTAGTAGGAACCATATGGGTCGCCCACGTTGACAACCCGGAATATGGTATTGACATCATCTTCAACTCCACCAATTGTCAGAAACTCAGTTGATGTATAATTGGTACTCTCATGCTTCCACACCATTGATTCGTTAGTACAGTTTGAGGCGACATCAAAACTGATGTATAAGTCAGTTGAATCAGTGATAAAAAAATCCTTCCCCGTTTGCAACCATAAATGTTACTGGCGTACCTTTAGCAGAAAGGTTTTCCAGTAGAATAACATCAACTGGGCAGGTTTCGTTTACACCTTTGCCTAGGCTGACAGCACCACCACCAAGGGGCCATTGACTTGTTATCAGGTAATATGGAATGCCAGGGAGAAGCCCGGAGCCTTTCATGTCAAGCACCTGATCTTTCTCTGAAGCATGAACTGCTTCAGGGAGCAATGTCACTGTGGAAGCCAATAGAAGGAGAGAGTTATTAACATAGTCTTCATTGTTATATTGGTTGTGGCTTGGGAATAATAAAAACTAGCTTCTGTTTATAGATCTTAGGATTACCAACCATGATTTCGTCAGTTACACGATGTCTATATTAGAATATAATATAAAACTATTCTTGAAACTCCATTTGTTAGTTTAAATTTTTGAATTAATGGTTTTTTAATATAATATTAGAATGTTGGTTATTAAACAATTACAAATTGAAATCTCACTACATGTATTTTTTTAATTAAATAATAAAACATTAAATAATGGTCACTACATTTACCTTTTTTTTTAATTAAATAATAAAACATGAAATAGTGGTGGATCATTATAAGTTTCAAGACAAAAAGCTTTCATTCAGAAAAGGATTAGAGTTTGAGTTGAGAGGGTTGTTTAATAATGCTCTTTAGCTTATTTTTCAGTATCCCTTACCTACTGTCCTTTTGTCTCTCGAATGACACAACTTTCCACGTTGTGCCGTTTATAACTACATTAGCATTCCTTTGAGGGAAGAGTTTTTGTCTAATCAATTAGATTTTTGAGAAACAAATTAATCATGTTTGTGCAACTGTAGTGCCCTGATTGCAAACCGTAATATTAGTCGTTGACTGGTAGTTAAGCCTGTTGCTTCTTTCTACTTTAGATCTTCTTCAAATATAGGAAGAAAATTAGGTTTAGTTTATATCTATTTTAACACACGTGCATAGAAGATAAGGTTTCTCTTCTTCTACTTCTTTCTACTCTATATCATGAGAATATCTTTGAGATAGCGAAATTATAATATATTCAACCACCAGTCCTTAAGCAGACATCAAGTACCAGGTATGTTTGTTGAGGTCATGAAAAGCACTTTTGCCTGCCGACTCTGATAGCAAATTTGAAAATTGTTTGTGTGTTTTCCAACACACACAGAGTGCTATATTCGTTATAGTATTAATAGAGCTACAGAGATGAGGGTTATAGAGATAGGTAGGGATGAGCAAATACCAGTTTGATTTGGTTTTTGGTTTATTTAGTTCGACTATTTTAAAAACCCAATTGAACCGAATTATGTGAATCAAAATATTTCGATTATGTTGTTGGGTTTCTTTTTCAGATATTTTTATAACATAAAAAAGTACATGTTTTTATCTTGAAAAATTTTGAGATTTTTTTCAGAAAATAAATGGTATTTTTCCTAACACGTGTGCTTAACATCAGATTATAATACTAATAGTTAATTTTTTTAGAAAATAAGTGATATTTAAAAATTATAAGATAAAATAAATCTTAAAAAATAAAAATTCAGAGAATAACAAATTCCAAATTAAAAATTTTTAAAACTGATTTTTAGATGAAATAAAAAAAAAAATCCATTTAGCCAATTTAGAGATGCCTTTTTCATTTTTAGGATTCTTACCTACTTTTTTCATTTTCAGGATTCTTACCTAGGGGTGAGCAAAAGGTTCGGTTAACTGAAAACCAAATAAAACCGAACCGAATTATGAAATTTGGTTCGGTTTTAAATGTAAAATTATACAATATAAAACCGAACCGAAAAAACAGAAATTATTTCGATTCGGTTCGGTTTTTAGAAAAAAAAATTCGGTTTTGACCGAAAACTAAAATAAAAAGTAAAAAATTTTCTAATTTCTAAATCCCTAACTTTTCAATCTTCATTCTTATTGAAACTAAAACATGCGGATGGGAAGTAAATTTTGAGGACCGTTGGGATAAGAAAAGAAAGTGACAGAGTATAATTAATTAAGATACAGTATGTTTGAATGAGCAAATTTATTACACTTTGACTCGTTTTCATTAAAACTTAGTTAAAATCTTTAAGGGCTTTGTGATTGTTTATAAAAAGGATTAATTGATAATAAGATGTTACTTCATTGGCTAGTGGACTAAGTGCTAGTATAAAACATCTCTCTGTAATGATTTTTTTTACGGCAAAATATTTTGATTAAAACCGAAATATTTCGAAACCAAACAGAAATAATTCGGTTACAAATCGAATTTATCGAATTTATTTCGGTTCAGTTTTGGTTTTTATTTTTTTTAATTCGGTTAACCAAAAACCGAACCGAATCGTATAAAACCGAACCGTTTAACCGAATGCTCACTCCTATTCTTACCTACTGTTCGTCTCTCTTCGGCTTTATGTCATTTGTATAAAAGTTCATTGCATTCCTTTGGGCGGAAAAATTTTCGTCCAATAAATTGATAGATATACTAAAATTCAAATTATGTTCGTGCATAATATATGGTTGGTAGTTGTTGACTAGTAGTTAAGCCATGCATGTGGCTTCTTTCTGCATCAAATCTTCTTCAAGCTTCAATTTATACGCAAATAACTTGTGCCTGAAAGAACAATTGTAGGGTTCATTGCCTCGTACGGATGAGCAAAGCAAATAACATGTGCCTCAAAGAACAATTGTCCTTGCCTCTTATGAGTACATTTTTGTCTTAATTAGTTTGGGCTTAGATCCCGTTTAAGAACGAAAAAGAATATTTTTTTTAAAGAAAAAAGTAATTATATTAATATTAAAAATAATACACAATCATTGTAATTTTCTTAAGACTTAAATATAGATTACAAACATGATAATTGATTCAAATAAAATAAAATAAAATGAATCACTCATTGTAGTAGTAATTATTGACTTTTCAATTAGCATCTTGTTATCTTTATTTGATAGACTTTCAAATGAGTTCTTTGGATATTTTCTTTTCAAGTTGTCCATAATGAAATTATTATTATTATTAATTTATGCGTTTTTATTTTAAGAATTTCTTGCCACTACTTATCAATGAAGAAATGAACCGTACTATCAGGTCATATTAATGGAATAACAAGTCTAACTATGATAAAGTGAAAAAACTTCTTTCAAACGACATATTCAACAACTGCACCACATAAAATGCATTTAAGATGGTAAACTTATACGTCAATCAATTATATATTTTTGAATAAATCTTCTGTCGATGCACACTAAAAATAAATAACTTCACATATTGAAGGAAACAAACTAAATAAAACCATACCCTTTAAATTAGAAAAATCTAAAACTATTATTTAGATTATTGGTAACACATCAAATCTAGTAAATAGAACTAGAAGTTGATTTTATCATCCGAGCTAATTTATTTCTTACAATTCGATTATATTGAAATATTTCAGTATGAATATGACGACCTAAATTCATGTAGATATAATTGTAGATAGATAAAGGTTTCTCTCAAATTAAAATCTAGTGCCTATCAACATCGACTTTTAGCCCGTAAGATATTTATATGTCGAACCTATAAAATAAAATCTATAGAATGAATCTTAAAAAAATTGAAAAAGGTAATTGTCAATTCTTAGATAGAGTGTAAATCTAACTAGAAATCTAACTTCATAATATTGATAAAGATAATTGTAAATCCTTATCTCGGTACCCGACATCCGGCGAGATTTTTGAAAATTTAAGATCTGTTTTTCTTTTGGATTATTTATGGTTTTTGAGGACATGAGTTATTATTGATTTTGGAAGTCGCCACCTAGTATTATAGAAACTAGAAACCTAAAAATAACACCGATCCAAAAATTCTACGACAAGGAATTCGTTACGCTTTTGAGAAGATATCAATAACTCAAAAATGTTATTTTCTAAGAAATGTATCATGTCTTCTTTAGTCCTAAAATTTATCTCCTAATGTGTTTTATTTGAGTCAAATTATTTTCAATTTGAACTCCGAGTTATTTTATTTTTTTACTATGCTAAACTAAGTTTTTCACTTTTGTTTGTGGCATCGTATTGAATCAATTGTCGGATCCCTTTATCGGGAGACACGTTAGTTCAAATATCATATTCACTTTAAGTCTCGACATAACCGGTATATCGAAGAACTACCTAATTACTAAAGCATGATTGATTTGAATTGACATCACTCTTTATTAGATACGAGACTTTATTAATATATTTTTTTCTTTCCTTCTTTTTTCCTTCTATTTTTCTAATACTCCTTTCTCTCTTTTTATTTTTTATCATTATTATTTATATTTTATCTATGGGGAACTCGTCATTAGTCTCTAAAAATTAGGATCCTTAATCCACTTATTAATTACATAAACTAATTATTGAAATAGATTCTAAAGTTAACATTACTTAAATAAATTCCAGAAAAATCAAAACATTAAATCTAAATTAAAAATAAAACAAAATAATAAAAATAAAAAATATGCATAAAAGGAATTCAAGGCTAATCGAACAAAAAAAAAAGACTTAAAATTAGGGCATTAGGCCTTTTGGAGTTAGTGGGCCCTCGACCCATTAAGCTAAGCCCACTAGATTGGGCCTAACATCCCCTCTTCTTCTTCTTCTTCTTCTTCTTCTCTCTCTCTCTCTCTCTCTCTCTTTCTCTCTCTCTCTCTCTCTCACTTTATGGGTTGGACTAGGCTAAGATCGGCCTAGCCCAAACTTCTTTTTTTTTTTTTTTTTGGGTTGGACTATGATGAGATCGACCTAGCCCAGCCTAGCCTTATGTGGTTTAGGCTCTAGGCTAGGCTTGACCTAACCCACTCTCCTTATTTTATCCCCGGACCTAAACGGAAAAACAAGTTTATTTTCTTTTCCCTAATTTTTTTTCAACCAAATGCTCTCACTTTCTCTTTCTCTCTCACGATTTCACTCCACCAAAGATCAAAGATCAACATCTCTCTCGTTCTCTCTAAACTTCCCTCTATCGTTTCTCCATAAACTCTCATCTTGTTTTCTCGATTCTTCACTCAATCTTTTTTCTCCTCATTTGATCCTAAACTCATTTGCCTCATCTTTTCATACCCTCACTAGAACCCTAACCTTTTTTTCTTCCATTTACTAAGCTAATCACCTAGAAATCCGTCAATTTTCTCCCCATTCTCCTAAATTTAAGCCCCTTTTTCCAATTTTAAACGAAATCTTATTATGCCTATTCAAATAAAAAACCCTAACTCTTCATGAGTTCCTAATTAAAACCTTTAATCCTAAAATTAAGTTGATTAAAACTAGATCCCAACCTTTCCAACCCTCAAAACTCCTCTCATTTCTTTATCCGGCTAACGTGACAAACTCG